TGTACACACATACACACACACACACACACACACACACACACACACACACCGGCATACACACACAAAACACACCCATTCATGCATGTACACACATACACACATGCCCACACAAACACCCACACGAACACCCACACGAACACCCACCACAGACATACAAAGTCATATACTTCAGAAGTACACATACATTACAATAGAATATAATATACCCATCCAGAGATGATAGAAGGTCCCGAAGGGACCAACAGTGTTCAAGTCACGAGCAGAATCGGGTGTGGCACACGAGAACGCGAACACCCGCCACCCCCCCCCCCCACGCGCCCCACACACACATACACACATAAAAACACCCACCATGCACACACATGCACTCATACACACTCACACACATACCGTATATTCCAGAGTATAGGTCACACTGGGGTATAAACAGCAACCCCAATTGCTTTCCACAAAATACAGACATCAACCCTAGTAATTTATTACCGATCATCGGAGTATAAGCTGCAACCCACATTTTTGAGTGTATTTTGAGCGTTGGAAGTACGACTTATACATGTACTCAGGAAAATACGGTATACACACAATGAGACAAATTTTATCAGTAAACTTTCTTGCATTTTTACAGTCAATCTTGATGATGCCCAGGGCCGATTTTTTTATTTTCTTTATTGCAGTTCAGAGACCGTATACGTGTGTGTGTGTGGGTGTGTGTGTGTGTGCGCGCGTGTGTGTGTGTGTGGGGGGGGGGGGGGGGCGGGTTGATCAATCCTTTATTTTCTTCCAGGCCTAAAAATACAAACTTTATATACCAAAGTATACGGTTTGGCCTCTTATGTCTGTGCTGCACTGGCGAGTCCACTAGGCTGTGTTGACAAGAGGCGTTTCAGCCAGGGTCAAGTTTCAACCCACCATGAACACAGATTGACTGAAGCGTTAATATGCAGCATTGCGTTAGATCCGGTTTGAAATTTCAAACGGGGTGGATTTCAACCCTCCCCTCGGGGGAGGGTTGAAATCTAGAAATCTTACTTGCGTACTTCTGTGCGTATCTCGTGCCAAGTTTGAACAGCACTGCATCGGAACATTTTGCGCGAATGCTTTCACGTGACTATATAGGACTCTAGAAGTGGACTTTTGGCGGCATATCAGTATTTGACGAGAGTCATTTGTCTTGATGTGAACACCCACTTATTTGTTCCCCTGTACAGACTTTCAACCCGGGTTGAAAATTCTCATGTAAAACAAGCCTACGGGCAAAACAATTCTACCTGCAGATTGAGTACCGGATTTTCTGGGGTGTTCCGCACTTTGAAATGCATACAAAACTGCAAAATCACCCCTGCAGCTAAGACTGGGAATGCTAGGAATGACTACCAGCGCTACAGCACAGGCTATGAATATACTGCATGCATGGTGTTGTTCAGCTACTCTTCATGTACTGCAGACCATCATTGTACTGGTGCAAAGCTTCTCATTGTACGTATTGCCAGTTCTGAGTGAAGGGCAAAGTTGACAATTTTGTAGAACTTCGGTCATGCTTCTCAACCTTTTAACCATTGTCTGTATTATGATCATGGCATGCGCTAAGGATTAAAATATGCTCTGACACAATGTCCTGCCAGTTGCAAAAATGGCCGGACATGTCCGGACATGCAACTTTCACATCAAATCACACAACATTCAGTGTAGAATTAATACCATCGAAATGTTATCACGACGATGCATTTCAGAAGCAGCATGATCTTTGAAGGCTGACGTTTTCAGGTTCCTTGAGCCAACGACGAAGGAGTCAGATAAATTCTTGCTGCTGCGAATTTTATCAACAAAACGGGAACACATCTTACACTTCAAATTTTCGACAATGCTACGATTTGAGGGACTGCGCTCATAGCTCAGCCAAACAGAAGTAGTTGAAAGCTCCCTATCATACTCGGCGACCCACTTGTCACAAGTGGTCGTCTTGACTCCTCTGGGCTTCTTTCCAAGAGGAGCACCCGCATCAGCGGTGCTTAGCTTTCTCTTGCCAGACGACATCACTAATGACTATGAGATAAAGGATTGAAGTGCCTTTTCTTTTTTGTATTTTGCAAAAAGGTGCGCGGACACTTTGTCCGGATATGTACAAAACATCCGGAAACTGACCGTAAACGGTCAGAAATTGTCCGATGTCCGACCGTTATTTCGCGCCCTGATGATGAAAACCATCTTAAAGTTAGGTTGCCAAAACATTCGAAATCTGATGGGCGGGTGGCTTATACAGCAGATGGCAATACAAATACAGAAGGTGGACCTGAAAAGGCGGGTGCGGCTTAGACTCCGGTGAGTCCAACACACTGTAAAATTCGGTATTTTGCTCCTGCTCTTGTACTGTCGTACGATCGTGGACATAAAAATCCGGTCACACGTCTAGCGGCCCCATATATAGGCCCAGGGCGCTGGCCATTCAGCCGTGGATAAGCAGTACACACATACATGCATTACAGTCATGTACATGTATAATGCACTGGCCAGTGCTCTGCAGTGACCAGTGCACTGCAGTACACTGATCACTGCAGTGCACTGGTCACTGCAGTGCACTGGTCACTGCAGTGCACTGGTCACTGCAGTGCACTGGTCACTGCATGCAGTGCACTGGTCACTGCAGTGCACTGGTCACTGCAGTGCACTGGTCACTGCAGTGCACTGGTCACTGCAGTGCACTGGTCAATGCAGTGCACTGGTCACTGCAGTGCACTGGTCACTGCAGTGCACTGCAGTGACCAGTGCACTGCAGTGACCAGTGCACTGCATGCAGTACACTGGTCACTGCAGTGCACTGGTCACTGCAGTGCACTGGTCACTGCAGTGCACTGGTCACTGCAGTGCACTGGTCACTGCATGCAGTGCACTGGTCACTGCAGTGCACTGGTCACTGCAGTGCACTGGTCACTGCAGTGCACTGGTCACTGCAGTGCACTGGTCAATGCAGTGCACTGGTCACTGCAGTGCACTGGTCACTGCAGTGCACTGCAGTGACCAGTGCACTGCAGTGACCAGTGCACTGCATGCAGTACACTGGTCACTGCAGTGCACTGGTCACTGCAGTGCACTGGTCACTGCAGTGCACTGGTCACTGCAGTGCACTGGTCACTGCAGTGCACTGGTCACTGCATGCAGTGCACTGGTCACTGCAGTGCACTGGTCACTGCAGTGCACTGGTCACTGCAGTGCACTGGTCACTGCAGTGCACTGGTCAATGCAGTGCACTGGTCACTGCAGTGCACTGGTCACTGCAGTGCACTGCAGTGACCAGTGCACTGCAGTGACCAGTGCACTGCATGCAGTACACTGATCACTGCAGTGCACTGGTCACTGCAGTGCACTGGTCACTGCAGTGCACTGGTCACTGCAGTGCACTGGTCACTGCATGCAGTGCACTGGTCACTGCAGTGCACTGGTCACTGCAGTGCACTGGTCACTGCAGTGCACTGGTCACTGCAGTGCACTGGTCAATGCAGTGCACTGGTCACTGCAGTGCACTGGTCACTGCAGTGCACTGCAGTGACCAGTGCACTGCAGTGACCAGTGCACTGCATGCAGTACACTGGTCACTGCAGTGCACTGGTCACTGCAGTGACCAGTGCACTGCAGTGACCAGTGTACTGCAGTGACCAGTGCACTGCAGTGACCAGTGTACTGCAGTACACTGGTCACTGCAGTGCACTGGCCACTGCAGTGCACTGGTCACTGCAGAGCACTGGTCACTGCAGAGCACTGGTCACTGCAGTGCACTGGTTACTGCAGTGCACTGGTCACTGCAGTGCACTGGTCACTGCAGTGCACTGGTCACTGCAGTGCACTGGTCACTGCAGTGCACTGGTCACTGCAGTGCACTGGTCACTGCAGTGCACTGCAGTGACCAGTGCACTGCAGTGACCAGTGCACTGCAGTACACTGGTCACTGCAGTACACTGGTCACTGCAGTGCACTGGTCACTGCAGTGCACTGGTCAATGCAGTGCACTGGTCACTGCAGTGCACTGGTCACTGCAGTGCACTGGTCACTGCAGAGCACTGGTCACTGCAGAGCACTGGCCACTGCAGTGCACTGGTCACTGCAGAGCACTGGCCACTGCAGAGCACTGGCCACTGCAGTGCACTGGTCACTGCAGAGCACTGGCCACTGCAGAGCACTGGTCAATGCAGTGCACTGGTCACTGCAGTGCACTGGCCACTGCAGTGCACTGGTCACTGCAGAGCACTGGTCACTGCAGAGCACTGGTCACTGCAGTGCACTGGTCACTGCAGAGCACTGGTCACTGCAGTGCACTGGTCACTGCAGTGCACTGGTCACTGCAGTGCACTGGTCACTGCAGTGCACTGGTCACTGCAGAGCACTGGTCACTGCAGTGCACTGGTCACTGCAGTGCACTGGTCACTGCAGTGCACTGGTCACTGCAGTGCACTGGTCACTGCATGCAGTGCACTGGTCACTGCAGTGCACTGGTCACTGCAGTGCACTGGTCACTGCAGTGCACTGGTCACTGCAGTGCACTGGTCACTGCAGTGCACTGCAGTGACCAGTGCACTGCAGTGACCAGTGCACTGCATGCAGTACACTGGTCACTGCAGTGCACTGGTCACTGCAGTGACCAGTGCACTGCAGTGACCAGTGTACTGCAGTGACCAGTGCACTGCAGTGACCAGTGTACTGCAGTACACTGGTCACTGCAGTGCACTGGCCACTGCAGTGCACTGGTCACTGCAGAGCACTGGCCACTGCAGAGCACTGGCCACTGCAGTGCACTGGTCACTGCAGAGCACTGGCCACTGCAGAGCACTGGCCACTGCAGTGCACTGGTCACTGCAGAGCACTGGTCACTGCAGAGCACTGGTCACTGCAGTGCACTGGTCACTGCAGAGCACTGGTCACTGCAGTGCACTGGTCACTGCAGTGCACTGGTCACTGCAGTGCACTGGTCACTGCAATGCACTGGTCACTGCAGTGCACTGGTCACTGCAGTGCACTGGTCACTGCAGTGCACTGCAGTGACCAGTGCACTGCAGTGACCAGTGCACTGCAGTACACTGGTCACTGCAGTGCACTGGTCACTGCAGTGACCAGTGCACTGCAGTGACCAGTGTACTGCAGTGACCAGTGCACTGCAGTGACCAGTGTACTGCAGTACACTGGTCACTGCAGTGCACTGGCCACTGCAGAGCACTGGTCACTGCAGAGCACTGGTCACTGCAGTGCACTGGTCACTGCAGTGCACTGGTCACTGCAGTGCACTGGTCACTGCAGTGCACTGGTCACTGCAGTGCACTGGTCACTGCAGTGCACTGGTCACTGCAGTGCACTGGTCACTGCAGCGCACTGGTCACTGCAGTGCACTGCAGTGACCAGTGCACTGCAGTGACCAGTGCACTGCAGTGACCAGTGCACTGCAGTACACTGGTCACTGCAGTGCACTGGTCACTGCAGTGACCAGTGCACTGCAGTGACCAGTGTACTGCAGTGACCAGTGCACTGCAGTGACCAGTGTACTGCAGTACACTGGTCACTGCAGTGCACTGGCCACTGCAGTGCACTGGTCACTGCAGAGCACTGGTCACTGCAGAGCACTGGTCACTGCAGTGCACTGGTCACTGCAGTGCACTGGTCACTGCAGTGCACTGGTCACTGCAGTGCACTGGTCACTGCAGTGCACTGGTCACTGCAGTGCACTGCAGTGACCAGTGCACTGCAGTGACCAGTGCACTGCAGTACACTGGTCACTGCAGTACACTGGTCACTGCAGTGCACTGGTCACTGCAGTGCACTGGTCACTGCAGTACACTGGTCACTGCAGTGCACTGGCCACTGCAGTGCACTGGTCACTGCAGAGCACTGGTCACTGCAGAGCACTGGTCACTGCAGTGCACTGGTCACTGCAGTGCACTGGTCACTGCAGTGCACTGGTCACTAATAGTGCACTGGTCACTGCAGTGCACTGGTCACTGCATGCAGTGCACTGGTCACTGCAGTGCACTGGTCACTGCAGTGCACTGGTCACTGCAGTGCACTGGTCACTGCAGTGCACTGGTCACTGCAGTGCACTGCAGTGACCAGTGCACTGCAGTGACCAGTGCACTGCATGCAGTACACTGGTCACTGCAGTGCACTGGTCACTGCAGTGACCAGTGCACTGCAGTGACCAGTGTACTGCAGTGACCAGTGCACTGCAGTGACCAGTGTACTTCAGTACACTGGTCACTGCAGTGCACTGGCCACTGCAGTGCACTGGTCACTGCAGAGCACTGGTCACTGCAGAGCACTGGTCACTGCAGTGCACTGGTTACTGCAGTGCACTGGTCACTGCAGTGCACTGGTCACTGCAGTGCACTGGTCACTGCAGTGCACTGGTCACTGCAGTGCACTGCAGTGACCAGTGCACTGCAGTGACCAGTGCACTGCAGTACACTGGTCACTGCAGTACACTGGTCACTGCAGTGCACTGGTCACTGCAGTGCACTGGTCACTGCAGTGCACTGGTCACTGCAGTGCACTGGTCACTGCAGTGCACTGGTCACTGCAGTGCACTGGTCACTGCAGTGCACTGGTCACTGCAGTGCACTGGTCACTGCAGTGCACTGGTCACATCAGATCAACATGACTGTAGTACACAACGTTCTGTACGCACTGAGGACGCCGGCCCAGGTCAATCCACTGGGTTTCCATGTCCAGAACAGTAGTAGGTGAGCAATTTCGTGCGGGATAGTGCCTTTGCTGTTTGCCTGCGTTATGCACAGCTCACTGACGTGTCAGTTTGAGCACTTTGGTAACGTGCTTGTGTGCCTTATTTAAATCTGGCTTTGGAAAATATTTTTCATTGCTACATGTATCAGTTTCGGCCATATTTTCCCTTTTCTGCGCTGACGAGTCCACAAAGGACCACAGAGAATGCTGTCCACAGATTGAGGTTATCCCAATACTAGTACAGGCAACTTGGCTAATAACGACTGCTGCGGATATAACGACGATTCGCGAATAACGACTGCGGATATAACGACGATTCGCGAATAACGACAGAATTTCCATGCCCAGAGCAAACTAGATCTCCACTTGTACATTCATCATCAAAATGTAGTCAAACCCGTGTGCTGGTCGATCGACATACACTGTAGCTTTTCCGATGTTCGGTGTACTAATGCCTTGTGAACTTGGACACCAGAGCTGCACACATGGGTACGTCGTGCAGAAGGAGAATGCCAACAGTTAGAGACCCATGCGTACCTACGTAGTTATTTGAACAGCTACCATCTTTTTGACTTCTTCCGCAAGGATCTTTTTGGCATGTAAGTAAAAAGTCTTGGTCCATTTCATGTGGGGGAACATTACGAAAATGAGCGAAAACAGCACCATAAGGCGTAAACACCACCACGTCACCATGTCACCTTTGGTCGGCGATCACAAAACCAACCTGAGCCAAGAAGAACCGTAACTAGGTGAATGTAATTTTTCTGATAACGATGAATCCGCTAAAGATGCAGGTGACAAGCTCCCCTCATCTTTCCTTTCAGAGCCACATATGCAGTAATGCAACCTTCGGTATAGCAACATTTTGTCTATCATCACAAGACAAGGCTAGGAATCTTTACGTGACAGTTCCTCTTAAAATTCAATGGCAAACTCCCACCAAAAATTCATTTGAATAAGATTTCCTCGTGACAAGCAAGCTGGCCCTGGGTTCAAGTCCTGGTGGGTCTGGCATTTTTTCTCTCTTTTCAGGCAGCTTACTTCCCCGACTGATCTTTTGACTTTGAAGTTCTCCCGATCCTTTCGAAATGGATACGATTTAATCTTGTTTTGCACACGTACAACCTGTGACATGTATGTCACTTTTTAGGGAATAGTTACATTAATAATGATGTAGTTAGAAGGCTGTGCTGGGCTTACAACCAATTTTCTTGCATTACTGATATTCCAAGTACAAGTTTTTGACTAGCTGGTTTGGAGTTGACAGCGTTGTGAATGATCGAGACTTCTCAACGTCTGTTCTCACCTTGCAGGAGCAATACTGACGTTCACTGCTATCTGGTGTTCACGAGGTGTTTGTCGCACTGGAAATGGAGTGTTTCTATAAATGAGCGTATCTGGTGGGGGTCTGGATTGCAGAGGAGAGCTATAAATTTAAGAGTTAGTCCTCAAAAACAATCTTCTTCAGCCTACTCAAGCTCAACTAATGAGTGGAAACTCCCCTAAGCCCTGTGTATCGAGCAGGGACTGGTGTTTGTCTGTGCAGATTTGCCGAGGCTAAGGTTCTATGCACTTGTCGTGTGTTCTAGATGGCAATTGTGAATTAGTCAAATGTTAACAAGTCGTTGGGAACGCGAGTTTGGTCTAATGTAGGAGAAAACCACTTTCTTATTACATCATAGGCAAACAATGGCGGATCCAGAGATCTCTTCAGGGTTTCCAGTTTAGGCAAAATGCTGAAAATGGGTATTGACAGCTACATAAGTCTATGAGTAGTGAAGGCTCTAGAGTGTTATGTGCGGCTTCTGATATTAATCTTTTGTATTTTATTATATTTGAAAAGGATTTCCCAAAGGCTTTGGGCCTGTCGAGGGGATCTCCTGCAAGAAGAATGAAATGGCAACTTTATGTAGAGGGCTAGGGAGCAGTTAATCGAGGATAGGCGAAGGAAATAGATCGAGGGATACAAAATCTGGTAATTTCACATTGCACACAGAAAATCAACAGTTTTATGCACAGTGGTGGACACAGAGGCAAACATGGTTATGCAGGTAGCAGGGGCAATACCAATACTTAAGGAGGCTCCGAACAGTTGCGCAGCGCAGCGTAAAATGGTAGATCTACCCCGAATTATTTTGCCGCGAGATTCAAAAACTATGATCTGAGCTCCCGGCTAGCTCCCATGCGGAAATTTGAAAATGAGCTGCTGTGGAATCTGTTTGTCAAGGGTTGTTTTTAGGTGTGTTTGTGCTGGAATCGTCTTCCTCGGTATGCTTGCTTGGGTTTTTGAGCTACGATGGGAAGGGCTTCTGGCCGTTACAAACGGAAAGCTGTTGCGGCTCAACTTCAAAATTTCAGGACGAATTTTGCTGGCGCGAAGTCGCAGAAGAGCAGGAAATTGGCTGGAGACGATGTAGGTCAGGACACCAAAGTCCAGCACACTAGCAGTGGTAGCAGTCAGCTTGAGCCATCTGTGCAGCTTGAAGTGGCTGGTCACTCTCCGGTAAGTGTTCCTACTTGCAGCTCCCACAGTGACACAAAATCCTGGTTCTGTGGAGCTCCCCATGCCCGATAATTTGCTAATTGGACAACTCATTGTGGAGCTGCGTTTGCTGGCAGAGCTCCTACACAAGGGTTGCAGTTCATGTAGGACAGAACTGCGACTGATTGACTGCTCTGGCGAGGAGAAGAAGGGCCTGGTTAGCGTTTTTCATGTAAAGTGCAGCAAGTGTGGTGTTGTGAGCAAGCTGCAAACCTCCAAGTCTCACACTGGTAAAAACGGCCAAAATCGGAGTAACGATGTTAACACCAAGTGTGCCTTGGGTGAGTGAACATACCAGTAGTTGTAATTATAATTTTTGTACATGGAATGCATTTGTTTGGTCACTGCTCCAGTTCCTCTGTGTGTGTGTGTGTGTATGTATGTGTGTGTGTGTGTGTGTGTGTGTGTGTGTGTGTGTGTGTGTGTGTGTGTGTGTGTGTGTGTGTGTGTGTGTGTGTGTGTGTGTGTGTGTGTGTGTGTGTGTGGTCAAAGGGTGTGCCCGCGCGTGTATGCCCACACGCCCCGTTAGTGTATGTGTGCATATGTCCATGTTCTTGTGTAAGTGTATGTTAGGGGCTTTCAACTGCCGAGATTGGGATCATGTATCAATATTCTATTTCCATACTTGTATCCGCGTGCCTACACACGGATGTTTGTGTGTTTGTATGTGTGCGCGTGCTCGCGGATGTATGCATGAGCACACAGGTTTGTGTGCATGCACACGGATGTGTGTACGCTCACGCGGTTGTGCATGCGTGTGCGCGGATGATTGCGTGTGCGCGATTGATTGTGTGTGTGTGTGTGTGTGTGCGCGCGCGCGCGCGTGTTGGCTTATTTGGCATTCTGTCTTGTATTTTTCACTAAAGGCATGGATCATGCCAGTATCGGCGCAACACATGTTTGCCATTTTTTGACCACAATGAACATCCCTCCTCCACATGGAAAGAAGCTGCAACGACAGGAGCGGGAAATAGGCCCCGTAATTGAAAAAGTGGCAAAGACAAGCTGTTGAGTTTGCA